CACCACTTTCTTTCCCATGTGTGTCGTAAAAGCCGACTAAGGGAGAGCGAGGGATGAACAACAGAGTCTCTCTTGAAACATCTCTAAAGCCTGACTGCGGTTGCCTATAAGAATAGATCAGCCCTTATTTTCCCGTGGATGTCGTAAGAGGCGAATAAGGAAAAGCGAGAGATGGGCAACATCGTCAAAGCCTACCTGCGATTACCAATCCGCCTGCCAAGCTTGGCAACTACTGGCAAAACCCGCAAGGGGGAGGCTTAAGTTCGGCAGTGGACAGTTAAAGGCTGATGATGATGATGATAGTACATGTATAAAAAAATCGCCAAGAGGTAACAAACAAGCAAACAAACTCACGTTCACATTTATAATATTATTAAGGATTAAAATTAAATATAGTTTGATATATCGCTATATAATTAGGTATAAATATATATATATATATATATATATATATATATATATATATATATATATATATATATATATATATATATATATATATATATATATATATATATATATATATATATATATATATATATATATATATATATATATTAATAAAAATATATTACAACAAAAAATTCAGGCATATCAAATTATCAGTCACTTATCAGCACATTATTGAGAGATACCTAAACTCAAAGTAATTTAGTCGCTTAATGCACAATAGGTAGTGGGAAACAAATAAGAGCCTTGCCTCTAGATCAATGGGAAACAAATATTGATAGATACATCGTCACTACGACGTGTACGAAATATAACGAGACAACAACGTTTAGTACCTTTTTATTTCTCATACGAGCGTTAACGAAAACGTATCGATTTATTTGGCACTTGTTTAGGAGGGCTTGTCAATTTTTCAAAAAAAAAATACCACCAAACTGAGGATCGAAAGTCGGCAAATGTACTATTTTTTATTTTGTTAGTAATGGAGGTACCTGTAAAGTATATCCTTTCAGATAAAAAAAAATAACTTTCCAAATCGGCGTGTAATTCACGGAGTTATGAGGTAATAAACTTAAAAAACACCACCACATTAAGGACCTTCTCCTTTTTAGAAATCGGTAGTCGACAGATAGATAAATTGATGTCACTATTCTTTTATCACTGTTATTACCATAAAATTAAATTTATAATTCACTATTTCATTAAAGCTAATAATAAAAGAGTCAATTTATTATTATATAATTATTTACACATAGACTTTTCCCATAAAAAGTTTTGCTAGTAGTTGCCACACTTGGCAGGCAAGTTGGAAAAACGGAGTTAGGCTTTGGTGATGTTTTAAGAGGAATGCTGCTACACGTCGCTCGACCATTGACTTCCTTTAGTCGTCTCTTATGATATCCACAGGAATGGAAAAGATGGCCTATTTTATGCCTAGACCACATGGCAAAGAAGCAACAGCAGAATCAATGGTCTGTCCATATATAGTTTCTGCATATTTATAGTATTCAAAATTAAAATTTTAAGTTGAAATATAACCATTCAATTTTATTAATTATACCTACTATATCGCTTAATAGATTTAATCTATTTTTAATGCGATGTAGGATTATAAATTATGATGATTGATTTGTAAAATTTATTATTCAAATTTTCAATAAAAATAAAACTTTTTATTCAATACTCCTGAAATTTTTTAAATTATTAAAAAAAACCTTTCTATCCATTTCTTCTAAATAACTGTTCGTATTTCAAATAGTTTCACATTGTAATTATCACAATTCGAAATTTAAACGTGATGTAGAAAATAAAAAAATATACGATGTAAATTTTGTTATTCAATATATACGTTCGTATATTAAAAATATTTTTTATCCAATTACTCCGAATGAATGGGTCATGTTTAAAACAACACCACATTTTAATTAGGGCAATTCGAAACACTCTGTACGAGTTATTTTTTCTTGTCACCAAGTGATAAAGAATCCGGGACTAATTCAAGTCTGTAGCCGTTGCGCCCGCGCCACCCAACGCTGTTCGCATCAATTTATAGGCTTTTAACCTAATTTGTTGACCGCCCCGCGCCCCGATCCTAACCCCATGCCCGTCGGACCCACCGCCCACGCGACAGCCACACTTGTTTTACTTTTTCAATAATTAATTTATTATTGAAACAAAGTTTGCTCTTATCTCCAAAATGGGATTTTGATCCTGGATTTAGAAGCTCAAGAATTCATTAAAACAGATAAGATGATCGAGTTTCGCTACAAAAAATGTATGATAATGAAAAATAAACGCACCGAATTAAGCTATCGTGCCCAACAGTAAAATATTTAATTAATGTATTTTACATTAGCAAAATGGCTGTCAATATATCCAACAGGATCGTAAAAACAAGCGTTGACATTTAATATCTGAACGTATTTTAAGTCTTACGCATGTGTGTGTGTAATAAATATTTTAGGTTTTTTTTGTCAACTGTTTGTTGCAAAAAGGTGTGGGGACAATCGCGGATAATTTATTAAAGAATGTTTTAAAAGCCCGTGGTGGTAGATTTTATAAATATTTTGTATTCGGACGCAATTTTGACAAATACCACTTAATTTACGCTAATGAATCCGAAATGAATGCACGAAGAAAAATAATGGCTGGGACACTAGTGTTTTACCCATATGAACTTATCGATATGCATTTATCGTGCATATTTAATTAGTAGGTACTAGTTATTAATTCGATCTTATATAAAATACATAAATTATGAATAGCTATCGAAATATATTATCACACTATCAAAATAAATTAGTGCAATAGAATAAACCTGCATTATTAATATTAATGATTTTAATGACTAAATGATAAAACTTTATCTTTATATATTTACCTGCATAAAATTACAACTGTAAGTAGACCGTGTCTATGCACGAATAAACTACTAGAAAGATTTGGATGTAATTTCGTTTGGTGATAACTTAGTACCGGATCAACATATAGGAAACTTTTAATATAGTAAAATGTGTTAGTATGAAGAAAAAAAAACCTGTTGTATTGTTTATACATACGCCTTAGAGATGGCGGCTAATCTTAAATCAATTTAACCTGCTCAAATAAATTTCAATTAAATTTAGATAAATTTAATTCCTTTTTAATTAAATGTAATTATGAAATTGTCTTTATAATAACGCGATTAGATTTCGATGAAAATTAGCAGAGGTATTTAGGTAGTATAAAATCCAAGAATTGAAATCTATGCATTATTTATCATGTCGATACTCTATAAATCGTGTGAATGAGCTATATTCGAAGAAAATATCGACAGCTTGCATCGAAGTGCATCACTAAAACGGGCGCATTTAGATAAACGAGCGGCCACATAAAAATCAACTCTTTTGCTCTAATCGAATTAGGCTCCGATATCCATCTGAGCGATTTAACACATTTTGCGTTCTTTTATTCATCGACTAATAAAGGCAGCAGGTAGCAGACCCACTGCCCACATTTTATAGTATCACAAATGTTGATGAACTCATTTCGTTGACTCGACGGACCTATTCGACAATTATACGATTAATTGATTTATCGATAGATTAGTCGATTGAATACGAAATTGGAATGCCTAGAGTATTAATTCTGTAATTGAGTAATTGTCTCAACTTCAATCAAATATAATTAGATATTGAGAATAATGGAGATCACATTTTTATAAGATAATGAATGCAAGTTTTTATAGGAGCTATAAAAATTATCATCAGTTTGTTTATATACTTAGACTTTAGTACTTGAAATTACATGGTTTAGACCCTAATATATTACATATATAAGCTAATATGGCTAAAATTAATACATTTATTGATCCATTAGGATTATTTTATTTAATTTTTCTATCATTAGTAGGCGTGTGACTGCTAACATTTGAGAATTGACTGCTATTCTTATTAGTAGAAGTTCTACGACCCTCCATTATTATTACTATTTCAGCCGTTATCTGTCCACTGCTGGACATAAATTCCATTAATTAATCTTTTTTTATGTAACATAGAATGGCAAACAAGCTGATGGCTCACCTGATGAAAAGTGGTTAACACTTTCCATCAGTCGCTTATAGACATGAGCAGTACCATGGACATAACAGAGTATATTGTTTCGCCCATAATAACTCCATGCGATGCCATTTCTGAGAACTCAAGTGTTATTTCTCTGTACCCTGTAAATTCATTTCCATATCCCACCCTTCAAACAGAAACACAGCCTTGAAAACACAACTGGTTCATGATAGAAACACAATTGGAATAGAAGTACCCAAACAAACGACTTTAGTACAAAGTTTCCCCCTGGTCTTCGACATATATACTATAGAAATTTTATACTAGATTTCAATTCGAAATGTAACCGATATGCAAGTATTGTAGATTCTCTTGAACAAAGTGGGGGTCATAAACTGATATTCAGAGCGCATGCAGTTGCGACATCTTATTATATCAAAGTCTGTAAATATATAAATGCTATTGACTTTATTAGATATTTACTATTACGAATATTATTGTCAATTATTTCAGATTTCGTATTTAGTTTAGTCAATTTGTTAGTTTATTCGCTTCTTTAAACAGACTTTCTTAGTGATTTGATTGATCGTAAATGTGGCTGGTTCAATGGTTATATGATGTGCGAGCTTCGAAGTTAACGTGTTACGATGGTAAATTGCGGTTTTATTAGTTGCCCACTAAAAAGGTTGTTTGATTGCACCATTCATTTCTTAATGATGGGTTAATGAGTCAATGGTTTTATTTAGCAGCAAACATTTTTGAATAATTTGTTTTATAAATGACTGATCTGTGGGCGATAGAGGAAGATAGAGGTAGCAAGCATTTTTATCCGACATAAAAAAGAAGGAGTTTCTAAACTAGGTAGTATTATCGTCAACATTTTTTTTTTTGGGAAAAAGTTCTCGTTGAATATATTTTGAACGGATACTAGCTAATTAATCTGAAATGAAATTTCGATGTCAACCTGTATAAATATAAAACTATCATCATAAATGATATATGGCATGTTACCCCTCATTAGTATTTTCCTCATGCTGCGTCTTTGCGTCGTGCAGTTCCACCTTCTAGTTCTGAACTGGTGGGCGCACTCCGTGGCCCCCAGGGTGACGCCCCTGATGATCTCCTTGAGCAGACCGGTCTCGTTTCTGCAAATCTGAGCGAGGCGGCCCCGCGTGCGGCGGTTCTTCTTGCAAACCATGCGCGGGTCTAGGATCACTGCGCTGCCAGACGCCCTGAAACAAATTATATTTATTAATTACTAGCTAATACTCGTCGCTTTGCCCACGTAAATTGGTACATAATATACTATGTTTTGATTTAGGACATAACCTACCAGTGTACCCATTTCCATTCAAATCCGTTCAACCGTTTAAGCGTGATTGAGTAATAAACATACAAACATCTTTAGAAACTTTCACATTTATTATGTTGCTAGCTTTTACCCGTGACTTCGTCCGCATTTTTAAAATATGTTCATTGATTGGGATAAAAAAGTAGCCTATGTCCTGTCATTCTTTATCGTGTATACCGTATTTTATAGTTATTGATTAAATCTTTGAAACGGTAAAAGGTAACAAAACGAACTCACTTTCTCATTTATAATATTAGTAAGGATCTATTTCTATTTAGTAAGGAGTATCTATTTCTTTAGCATTGCAATTTCCTTAATCCTTTATCATTGTTAGATCGTTATCAAATTGAATTTTAGGATCAGTCAAATAGGTTCATTTTTACTGCGACAGTACTTTATAAAATTAAATAGTATATCATAAATGATATCTCTAGATAGATTCGTTTGAATATTCGTTAAAAATATGACGTTCTGTAAAGAGAGATAAAAATCGTATCTTATGAAGTTATCACTTTCCTACCCTTGTGTCAATTATATAAATTTTAATATGTTTTTACCAATATTTCTAAGGTTTTGGCTTTTAGTTTTAGACCGGTTACCTGCCTGACGTTAATCTTCCTTGGAAATGCATTTGTTGGTGATATCCGCCACTTACAATATGAAGGAAAGTATCGGGGAAAAAGGAGAAAGACTTTGGGAGTGAGTAAATAAAGTTAATAGAAAAAGAATGAAAGAGTAACGGGGAAAAGGAAAAAGCACTGAATTTGCGAGCAGGATGCTCAGAAACTACAGTGACTCGAGAAGCCGGTGTCGTATTCTCGTGTATTCTTACTCTAAAAACGGATAAATTACTAAAGAATACTTCTAGCAGAGTAATGAAGTTACATAAATCTTTATACAAAATATCTATTTATAAGTAAAAATTATCAATATGTATTACGTGTTATATATAATTTGGTTAATAATTTCTCTTTGATCATTTATTCAGTACGTGCGATCAGCATTTTATCACCAATCTCAAAACCAGAGTTACAAAATCACAGTCGTAAAATTCGACATGCTCAATACAACTAGTGTTGTGGTGTTCAACTGTAAAAATCGATCGTCGGCCACGGCGGCGACGACAGCCAATCGCCAGGTTGTGACGAAAGATCGATTGTTTACTCGATAAGAGTTCATTGTCAGAACTGAGAGCATCGAGTGCAAAGCTAGTCGGAGTAAAATTAGACGTGTCTGTAGACCGCTTTCCGGGAACTGGGTCTCGACATTGATCGAAGTTGATCGATTATTTTCATCATTCGCTTGGTTCGGTTCGACTGTTGACGATTGTGCTCGAATTGAAACAAAAAAAAAAAGAAATATACAATCGAACATGGAATCTGGAACTTCCCACTTTTTGAAGTCGGCTAAAAATGGATATGATGCAGATTAAGATTTTGTGGAGAAAGATGAGATGCAGTGGTTAATTTCTTCTTTTCAAGTATAATAAATCTTCAAACTTCCAGTCAATCACAGTCAATCATAGTCAATCACCTAATAGTTTACGTTACGCTATTATGTAAACCAGTTTTGTTTTTGCAACTCGGATTATATAATCAATGATTATTAATCATAGTTCACAATGAATTTGTTGCTTTGAATTAAAGATTTTAAACTAATAATTCATTTCAATAACTGTTTCATTTTCATTTCAACTCTTGTTAATATATATATATTAATTTAACATATTTAGTTCTTGATACTCATATATATGGTACATATATATTTTATCGAAATACTAGTGTATTAAATAAATTAGAACTATATTTGTGTTAATTAATTATGTATTATTATGTAATATTGTTATTTTATTTTTTAAATGATCTGTTTCCATAAAAAGATATGCCAAGATGTTTGTTACTCTTTTCGTCTCTCCTGTTAACGCATACATCTGTACATCATCTTAGACCACATCATCACTTTTGACACACACACACACACACACGCAATTGATTCCATCATGTGAGTCGTAATCAATTGCGAGACCCTTTTAATAGTAAAAAAATATTGTTTTTCGTCCGACTTCAAAAAGAAGGAGATTCAATTCTATTATATATTTTTTTGTTTGTTACCTCATAACTCCATCAACTGTAAATCGATTTGAAAAATTATTTTTTATTCGAAAGGATATACTTAGAGATTGGTCCTGTAGAAATTTTATGAAAATCAGTTAAGTAATTTAGTTTTTAAATCAAAATAACTGGTTTATCCATAATTGAAATCGGTTTTTTTTGTGGTACTAAATATTAGTTATATAAGTACATTTCGTATTACTCATTGGATATACATTAACTTGTTTTATTAGATAGATTGATTCCATTCAGTCCTTGGTCTCAGCTTCTACCTATTAATTTGTAATGACATTTTTTTAAATTTAATATATGCGTCGAAGTCGCTCCATAAATAAAGATTGTATAATATTAAGTTCGATGCGTAACTTTACCATTTTATACAGTTTTTTACCCGCGATCTTGTTTGCAATTATTTGTTTTTACTTTTCAATAGATATAAATTCTCTATCCTCCTAGATAAGTGGCAAACGGTTCTGTCGACAGATGTGTTTTCGCTACCGAATATATAAGATTGACGGAGACAGTGCTGTCCAGCGCTTGTTCTTTTTCATGCGTGTAGTAACGAAAATTTACATTTTCTGCTTTCAAAGAAATATGAGTTTAGAACGAGAAAAGTATTAATATTAACACAAGGAGTCCAACCTTCAAGTTAGTATAGGAGGCAATAATTTTTTGTCGTTTTTCGACGTATCCTGCTTTGAGAAAATATTCTAATAATGAATTTGGATTAATTAGTAGAAAAAAAAAGACTTTGGCTCCCCCAAAAAGAAGCTAATGATTTTAATTTCAGACTGTATATTTAATAACACAAAGTGGACTCATTTTCGTAATCCCATTGTATACTAACCCCGTTATTATAAAAACTAAAACCTAGGGACCTATTTTAATTATTACACTATTTTGTCACTTTCATCAAAATTGAGATTTTACCACGAAATAAAGAGAGAAAACAGCTCAATAGCTAAAATAAGTTTCTGAGAGATTTGACCTTTTTATGAATAAGGGTGTCACTGTAATTTACTTCTGTGTATTAATTTGCGAAATCACTTACTTTTGTATATTAAAGTAGGCAGGTTTTAATTATCTTCAATGAACAAATAGTTTTCATTTATAATTTTATAACAAAGTGTTATATACCGCACTACTTATGCAATTGAGAAATAATGAAAGTATACATCTGGCATCTCTTAGAACGCTCTAGGTGTTACGTAAATAAATACATCAGGAATCCATCTAATTCATACAAACAACTAGAAGTGTTGACCTACAGTTTTACTACAACAGTAAAAAAGCGAGTACAAGCGTAAAAGTCAAGATGTTTGTAAGTTACGAGCGAAACACAGGTGAAATACAAGTTTCCAGTGCGAAATAATTTTATTAACCCCCAAATTGGCGCAAATGTTTACTTGATAGCCACGTCAGAGTTTCATAACAGTTCTGTAACGGAGTTTTGTGAGTTGATTCAATGCGGCGGGCTAGGTATCTTGGAAATAATTAAAGCGCCACGCACGATTGTTACTTGTTTGCTACAATTTTTCATTTGTTTACATTATTTTTTTTTTTTATAAACCTTGTGTACTAGGTATTTATTTTTATAAAATGTAGTGTACAGGATGTTATAATGTTATTATGGTGTGCATATGTCTTGTTAAATTTATTTTGTATGTGCAAAATTGTGTTGTGAATTTCTCAATATATGCTAGATCATGTTAATATTATTTATATTATAATAATCAATATTAAAGTTAAGTTAACAGATGTTACTAAATTTATTATAAATATATAAGTCAACTTACTATGTGATCCCGGGATAGAATAGGCCACCCCTTCCTTTTCCATGGATGTCGTAAGTGGTGACTAAAGAAGGGGGAAGGATGGGCAGCAGCGTCCCTCTTAAAACAATCTTCAAAGCTAATTGCGGTTACCAATCCGCCTACCAAGCGTGGTAACTACTGGCAAAACCCCCCAAAGGCAAGATATATGTTCAACAGTGGACATTTGAAGGCTGATAAGATGATATAAGTCAACATAAATTTTTGCTAAGCATTTCTTTTACGTACTACAAATTGTTATCTTTAAAATGATTGTATTCCGATAAAAATGCGTTTCGATTCTATTTCGATTTTCCAATTTTCGAAGAAAAGAGTACATAATAAACCAAATTAATTAGACAGACGGCAGTAGACGTGCCCTCTACAACATTGGATTACAAAAACCCGTCAGTTATTACTGTCGTTTATTGAGTTTATTTTATTTTATCTAATACATCGAAGAATATACAGGTTAATACAAAGGCTCGTCGAGTCATTACCAGCGCTCACATTAGGCGAATCAATCGGCTCACGAATGGCGTCTGAATGCGCCCGCGCTGACACCGCGACGTTGTCGTATTTCAGTCCGATGCGCGCGCAACTACTGATTTATATTACTTTTTTCTTTATTTATCAATATTTTTTTTTTTTGTATTCGCTACTTAAGATAATTCGTTATTATTACTCTTTTTGTTTGCTATCTGTCCGTCAACCTGACATGATAATAGTCATGCATTATCTCATTTTGTACCGATTGAGAGAAGTATTACGTATCATCATCGTCATGTTAGCCTTTAACTGTCCACTGCTGAATACAGGTCTTTCCCTATTGGGGTGGCTTTGCCACTAGTTGCCACACTTCGTAGGCAGATTGGCAACCACAGTTAGGTTTTGGTGATGTCTTAAGAGCGATGCTACTGCCCATCCCTCGACCTTTACAATTTTCTTAATCGCCTTTT